CATTAATGTGGATACTCCCTCCTATTCAGAAATCCTCCCTCTGGATGGAGAAAGAGCCATGTGTACAGTGGGCCACGGGACTTGGTACTCAGCAGCTTGAGAAATGAACGCATGCCAGGCACTGTGTGCCAGCGGCTAAGAGGCTGTGAAAACAGCCTACCGTCAAGCTCACCCTTGTTCAACTTTAAGCCCCGTCACCATTCTCTGGGAATACTCAGGCGATGGATTTTTGCCAGACCCTCATGGATACTGATTGTTTTGGACTCTCAAGCTTCTTGTGTAAAATGGCGCCTTACTTTCATATGCCTATGCCATACACTTCATTTCTGTTATACTTGATTTCTAGATTATTTATAACACCTGAAAGAGTGCTGTATCGTCAGTGGCTTACTGTACTGTTTGGTCAACAATGGTTTGTACTAGTTAGTACAGACTTGATTTTTCAAACACACCCTCAGTCTGTGGTTGAATCCCCTGATGTGGAGCCCACAGAGGGTTGCTGCACACCTGACCTTAAATGCTAGTTGAGTATGTCTTTTCTTCACATTGTGATACAGGATACGAATCAGGAAAACTAAGGGGGATGGGAGGGAACACAGCTGCCATTCACCATCCCCAGAGGCTGGGGATAGGGAGGAAGAGAGGAGGAGGGAAGAAGGGAAAGGAGGGGGAGAAAAGAGGCAGAGGAGAGGGACGGGAAGGAAGGAGAAGGGGGACGGGGAAGGAGAGAGGGAGAGAGAGAAGAGAGAGGATGACAGAAGAGATTTATGTTCAAAACCCTTTTTTTAAAAACCAAAAATAGTTGAAAAACATTTGCCCTAAACAGCGCCTTTGTTCGCTGTGGCAGCACCCTCAACAGCCAAGTTGTGGAGTCAGATTAAGCGACATCAATGAGGACTAAAGTTTGGTATATATGCACAGTGGACTATTACTCGGTCATAAAGAAGATCAGGATCCTGTTACTTGCATAAATGGATAGAAATGGAAGATGCCTTGCAAAAAAACCAGAAACAAACAAACCAGGCAGGCAGAACCTACATTTAAATGTGTGCGTGTATGTATGTATGCATGTGAGTGCTTGTATGAGTGTGAGCATGTATGCCTGTGTGTGTGCATGCATATGTGTGAGCACATGTGTGTGTGTGTTTATGTGTGTGTATGTGCACGTGTGTGCGTGTGTGTGCACCCGCATCTGAATGTGATGGAAGTAGGAAGGAGACCACAAGAGAGTAGGGAGAGATTTTAAGGTGGGGAGAAAGAGTAATTACTATCATGTGACATGCACACAGAGGAGGGCTATTCTGGGGAGGAAGGGGACCAGAACTGGGAGGAATGGGGTTTGGGGGAGGAGGGCTAATTAGAACCAACAATAATGACATATGCATGAAGGCACCATAGTTAAAACCGTTTCTCTGTATGCTAGCTTCAGAAATTAATTTAAAAAGTACCATTAATGAGTGATTTTTAGCTTAAAGCATTAGTTTCGAACCCAGCACGGTACCGGTAGCTGTGCTGATTTTGGATCATAGGCTGTAACTGAAATAAATTTACATCCAACACAATACTAGTCAGTCTTTCATTTCTCTCTTACCTGTCTGGGAGCTAGGAGTTATTATTTTTAAGGATGCCATTTGCAAGATACCCAGTTCCACTGTATTCTGTGTTGCCACATGTGGCCACTAGGGGGCAGTACCACCCACCTGCAAATTATTGAGTCCAAGGTCAGAACAGCGGGCTGCAGATGGCTGAATGCCAACACCAACCAATGGCCTTTGATCTGGGGAACATTGGCAGCTGGTGAACACCACGGTGATTTAGACTTTGGCTACTTGCTGGCTGACCCTGAGCTGTACCTCAGCATGGGCCACCAAGGACCTTGAGTCAGATTAATGCCAAAGTGAACTCTGATTGCTTCAGTATCCTTAGAAGCAAATTCCCATGATCCCCTTGGAGGGCGCCGAGTGGAATCTGGTTTGCTGATTTCAACCAGCGATGCTTATACTTCTGGATTTACTTGATCAGTCTCCCGAGCGGAGTTCTTTTCCTTGGATGGTTTATTGTATTTCTTTTTAAAGTGATTCCTGAATAGAGTATGCAAGTCACTTCAAAGAAAATTGGTACCGAGTTTGAGCTTGGTTTGCATCCCAGGAGCGGAGATATACATTCGAGCTGCTTGTATTCTTGGCTTTGGTCTCCCAAGAAGCTAAGCCCCTGTCTAGTGCAAAGTTACAGCTCTCCTTGGAAATGAGAAGGTGTCCCCCAGAGCTGCGGTTATTACTGGTGGCTCATCACACACACTGTAACAACTTTACCTCCAAATAAAACTTTTGCTCATTTCCAGGAGTGGAAAGAAAATAGAACCCTCCACCTTCAGGAAAGGATAAAGCCTCGAAATTTGATGCTTCCCAGATGATGATTGCAAGAAAGATGACAGGGGACATACATTTACATAAAACTGTAACTGTTCAACTTGATGAAAAACATCACTATCAAATCCCCCTGTTCCTGAATCAGTGGGTGTGGTTTCTTTTTCCTGTGACATTTTTTCGAGAATAAATAAATTATCTGAGAATATGCGCTTGCATCAAAAATACAGAATTTTGTAGTGTTTTCCCTCCAGGTACCTGATTGTAAGAACAGTGGCACATCTGTATTCATTTCCTCTTTTCTGTCTGTAGTACCTGAGTGCCCAGGAAGATGCTGGAGAACCATCAGTTCTAGAAGCATGGGGAAGGACTACGATCACACAGCAACTGCCATAGAAGGAGCTTTCCATAGAGTGCCCCTGATGTCAGCGAGCCTTGCTCTCCCTGAGTTACTGTCTCCAGTGATGGCCTTAGGTGACGTTTGGGGGCTCACTTTCAAAAGCAGTTAAATTTTTGTAGCCACCTGTTTGAGTTACTTTTTGCTTGCTCTGATAAAATGCCATGACTAAGGCAACTTCTAGAAAGAAGGGCTCATTTGGGTTTACGTTCCAGAGGGATAAAAGTCCATCATGGTGGGGATGTGGCGGGCATGTTGTGATTGGAACTGCAAGCTGAGAGTCACAGGCACAAAGCAGGGAGAGGGAGAAGGAAAGGCAGAGGGAGAGAGAAACTAGAAATGCTCTGAGTCTTTAAACTCTCAAAGCCTTCCTTTCTCCAGCAAGGCCATGTCACCCTAAACCCATCCAAACAGTACCACTGACTGGGAACCTGGTACTCAAGTGTCCAAGACCATGGCGGACATTTCATTCAAGCCACCACACCCTGACATCAGCCAGAATCCTCTATAAAACAGTACCAACCCAACCCTGAGAAAAACACTCTTTCTCTGAGGAATTGGCTTGCTATTTTGTTATGGGAAGCTAATATCCCATAAGGGAGCTTGAGTCCCTTTGTTCTAAGGCTACCAAGAAGCTCTGAGGTGAACTAAGATCTCTCTTTTCCCTAGGATTTTTTTTAATCTTCCTTTATTTTACTGTTCAAGGTTTTATTTTCTGTTTCAGGATCTTATGAACAGACACAATGTTAGAGAAGTGATAGCAGCTGTCCAGATAGATGGACAGCAGCCACTGGGACTGCTCTCTTCTTTCTTGTCCCAGGAGTCATTTCTCATTACAAGAGTAGAGTAAGCCATTGTCACCAAAGATTTGTGGGTATTGAATGACCAGGCACTGGCCTCTGAGCCCTTGGGGCATTCTGTTCCCTTTCTCTGTGGGGAGAAGTGCCTCCTCCCCATCTCTTTGGGCCTAGGGTGGGGATGACCTCTCATTGGGGACAGCCTTGCATCTACAGCACCATTCTTTGTTCTTTTTCTTTGCCCAGCACACTTCTATAAATAGTTCCTTTTTAAGTAAACTTTTTCTTTCTTCCCCTCTCTCTCTCTCTCTTTCTCTTTCTTTCTTTCTTTCTTTCTTTCTTTCTTTCTTTCTTTCTTTCT